AATTTATTGAGTTGGCCAATTTAGAACCTACTGATGTAAAAAAGTTATTGAAATCGTTTGCTATTTTAATCTTAATGTTCGCATTATTCGAAGAACCAGGTAAAACTTTTTCAAATGGGAAATGGTCCTTAGTGCAATTCCTGCCTGATATTTCACTAACTATGCCCCAAAATAATTTTGGATCCCTGTTAGATTCTGAAATTTTACCCCTATAATAATTTTTCTTTGCATTTTTTATGTTTTGATTTAAAGATAGGCGCAGGGCCCTGAATCTATCTAGTAGTAATAAATTAAACGGTTGGGTTTTGATCTTTTTACTTAGCTTGTCTCGTTTTCGAATTAATTTTATGAGATCTACGGTAATCCAAGGCTTTATTTTTTTAAATCTTGTAGAGTGATGTTTGATTGTTTTAGTTGAGGCTTTGATGCAGTTACTCAGTGTCGAACAAAAACATGCTGTGCACTGATTAACCTCGTGATTGCTCATGATTGGACTCCAGTCAGTTTTTGTAATATGTTCAGTTAATGTAGCGTGATCAATGTAGGTGCGAAATTGGTTCTGTGACTGAGTTTCAGTTCCTGTAGGTGTATGAATGGTGTTAGTGATTGTAAGAGCAGTGCTGTAATGGTCAGTGATGTGAGATTGTATGACAGCAGATTTGACTCGTCTCATATCTTGGAAACGGACAAAAATGTGGTCAATACAAGTAGATGTGTTGTGTGTCACTCTGGTCGGCTTGTCGATGCACTGGACTAGTCCAGCGCCTAGTAAAGTGTTTAAGTAAAGATCCGTTATTGCATCAGTTTTGTGTAAGTCGATGTTAATATCACCCAAAAAGATACAGTTAGTATCTTTACTTATGCGATTATAATAGCATTCCAAACCAGATATAAAATGATCAATTTCACAATCAAAAGTCCTATAAACAGCTAACAGATTGAATGTTTTATTAAAAAGACTGAATTCCAAAGAAATACCAAAAACTCTGTTGATGTTTACTTGTGTTACGGTAGCAGACAGTTGTTTGTTGATGAAAACAATGACTCCGTCATTTTTGTTGTTTTGTGTATCCGTCATTGTACAGTCAAACCCGTCCATGTGACCCACCTCCCCCCCGCTCAACCAACACTCTGATAAGACGATGATATCTAGATTAGCATTCAAAGACTGTAAATACACTGATAAATTGTCAAAATTTTTTGAGAAACTTCTGATGTTCGTGTGAAATATTTTAAGACTACTATTTATTGGGGGTTCATTAAAAAAAATTTCGCTTTCAAAAACATTATCCAGCTCCAAGCAAGAATCGTATTCAAAAGGTGTATTTTCATCTATGTTGCCAATCATCGTCCCGCATAGGCCCCCCTGCCCGTGCCTATCCTGATAACTTAAATAATAAATTAATATTTACATACATAAAATGAAATTATGCAATTATTAATCAAACCATACAAATCTAATCATCGAAAATTACTTGAATTAGATATAATATGAGTTAATACACGAAAAGTTTACTATTAGGATTGCTTTACCTCAGAACACTTAAATACATAAATTTCTTTTGGAACTAAATAAATAAAATTGTTATTGAATAGCTTAAATTAAATTAATGGTATTTTGGTGTAATAAATATTATAAAATAACTAATGGACTTTTCTTGCATCCCTTGCATCTCAATTAAATACTGAATAAATAATTCTACTAATTTTACATGCAGAGAAACATGCTATTACAAAGATTGAACTGAGGTAACAAATAATTTAAAGAAATATTTCACTTATTAAACTCCATGCAATTGTTCAACACATGATCTTTAGAGTACTAGATAATTAGTTTTTCTCTCAATAGTAGTGATAAAGGCTGGTAAAAAAAAATAAATCAACACTTGCAAATAATAAATAAAAGTTAATGAATAATGAAACATATTTATGTTGCAATAATCATGCTTTAAAAAAAAAAAAAATGTGAAAGACATAAACATAACATTAACAACGACCTTGATTAAATGAAACATTAAAATAGTGATTCTAAATTTAAATTCAAAGAGCAAAGCTAACTGAACTGAGATCAATAAATATTTTGATAAAAATGAAACTACTTTAGCTTTTTGTCTTTGCTTTTTAGTCTTTGTCTCATTTAGAAAAAAGTGATTTGCTCGGAACCAGGCCGGTGCCCCCTCAAGAGATCGTTTCATGGCTTCCTCAAGATCTCCCAGTTCATTGCTAGTTTCAAAGAGTTTAGTATCATCTGCGTAACAGATGACACCTTGCCCCAAACACAAAGCGAGATCATTTAGCATGACATTGAAAAGTAAGGGACCAAGAATTGAGCCCTGAGATACACCATATGGGTCAATTGCTGTACACTGGATTTTCTACCATTTATACAAACCAGCTGCCCACGCCCAGTCAGGTATGATTTAATCAGTTCAAAAAGTTTCCGCTTAACCCCATAGAAATTTAACTTTCCCAGGAGGGTGTCATGATCAACCATGTCAAAGGCCTTGCTGAGGTCACAAAGAGTGGCCCCAGCAAAGCCCCCATCCTCAAAAGACTGAAAACTGCTTTTATTAACTTTTCAACAGCATCAGTAGTGCTGCGGTGAGGCCTGAAACTAAACTGGGCAGCTGAGAACAAATTGTTTGCTTCAAAATACAGAGAGAGCTGTTCTTTAATAATAAATTCAAGGATCTTAGAGAAAGATGGCAGAACAGAAATTGGTCTAAAATTTTCTGGCAGGTTGGGATTGCCTTTCTTGTGAATAGGCACAACCCTAGCAATTTTTAAAACATCAGGTAAAATACCTTCTAAAATACAACAATTGATACAGTAAGTTAATGGGCTAACTATAGGGAAAATGATCTGTTTCACAAAACTAGTAGAGATATCATATATGTCTCTGCCAGAAGAATTCTTTAACCCTTGCACTACAGATAGGACTTTATCACATGAAACTGGCGATCATTCGTACCGTGAGTCATTTCAACGATCTTAACGTGATCGCGAGTCTTACCGATGATTGCACCGTGACCGCGAGTCATACCGACGATAACGCCGTGACCGTGGAATTATACCGACGATCACGTCGTGACCGCGGAATCATAAGGACGACCATGCCGTGACCGCAGAATCATACCGACGATCATGCCGTGACCGCGGAATTATACCGACGATCACGCCGTGACCGCGGAATCATACCGACGATCATGCCGTGACCGCGGAATCATACCGACGATCATGCCGGGACCACGGAGTTATACCGACGATCATGCCGTGACCGCGTGTCATACCGACGATTGCGTTGTGCCCGCGAGTCATACCGAAGATCTTGTCGTGACCGCGGAGTCATACCGAAGATCTTGCCGTGACCGCGGAGTCATACCGACGATCACGTCATGCCGTGACCACAGAGTCAAAACGAGTCTTTTTAGGTAACTGCAATACTCAAGACTTGCTTTTTATGCACAGGAAAAAAATCCCGTCCCGTCCCATCCCGAAAATCGGGAATTCCATTTTATTTTTCTCAAATGAACTGTGACTTGTATCTTTCAAAAACAATAATGTGGGAGCCTACTTAATATTAATAATGGGCAGAAATTGTTAAATATACAACAAATTTCAACACATTAGACTAAAAAACACAATTTATAAAGTTTTCTAGGTATTTTTCTTGGACAATGAGGTTATATTAGCGGAACCCTGCTGTGTTGGCTGCACGGTTGGACCAAGCGAGGAGTGGGACCATCAGAGGTCGGATTAGTGAGGTTCTACTGTATGGAAACATAGGAAAGTCATAGAACAAAAAATGTTAATTATAACGAACTGTTATGTACATCGTGATTTAAAGTCATCGGAAATTATGACTGTTATTCGTTTTAAAATAACGCCTGTAATACTTTGCAATTGCTCGAATTCAAGCAACAGGTATCCTAGTATATATATCTATATCTATAAAAGAGGAACTATGTATGTATGTATGTATGTATGTATGTGTGTGTGTCTGTGTGTGTGTATACGTTATGAACTCCTAAACCGCTCTACAGATTGTAATGAAACTTTCAGGCATTATCAAGCATCTTTTAAGGATAGTTCGAGTGAAGTTTGGTGCAGATCCGTCAAAAGGGCTCTGTCCCAGAGGGTTTTAAGTGGGCCAATGTCAGACTTTTTGATCTACAAAGTTTACAAATAAATATAATTTAAAAGCAGATGTTTACTTCACCAACTGTTTTGTAGGTTTGAATAATCACAACATTCTGTATCAGCATTAGTCATGATTTGAAATAGTGCCACAGTGTTTCTACAGATTGCAGCACAGAAAACTATTTTACTTTTGAATAAGTCCAAATGTATTAAACCCCAATCGCAGCACACCTGTGCACTTAACAACGTTTAAATTCTCCAATGTTAAATATTAAAACATAAAAACCTTTATCAAAGTACTGTACTATTAACAATAAAAGGGATTACTTTTTAAAATTTATGACAACAGCTAATTTGCAACCAAAAGGTGAGTGAGCGTAGCGAACGAACATCAACCAGGACGTGATTGAGCCATGCGAATACTTATGAAGTTAAGCGGGGCAAAGCCTGCGGGTACAGCTAGTATATATATATATATATATATAACTGGTGAAATACATCTTAAATTGAACTAAGAACTAGAAAATTAATCAAACTTATGTTTTTTGGTCGAGTAATACAGTAGATAAGAATATGCCGATGCTTGATGTGAAATCTGTGCGTACATACCTTCAATTTAAGACCTCAATCATAAAAATCGGTCAAGGTACAAGAGCCAAACAAACTCGGAAAAGAAAAAAATCTAATTTAACTCCCCGTGAATAATATATGGGGAGCAAATTTTGTTTACGTGTAAGCCGAGTGGGACTTTAGATTAATATAAACCAATGTTTAGGCGAATGAAGCCGATGTTTAGGGAAAGCAAGACCATTAGCAGACAACATCAAGTGAGCCAGTAACTAGTAGGTTGGTTTGTGCAGGTTTGCAGTCTAGAAAAGGAGAAGCAAGACCATGAACAGACAATTAGCAGAGTGCGAGAGTCAGCTGAGAAAAGCTTCCAGGAGGTGGAGCAGCTACATGAGAAAACATTAACTATGGAGAACCTCAAGCTGCAACTGCAGCAGTAAGTAACACGTAACTACACATTTAGTATGAGCCACCGATCTTAGGGACAGGAGAGAAAATAATTTTATACTGTAGCACATTCTTTGATTGGCTTATTAAACTACATAACTTTTTAATAAAATAGACTGAGGCTTGGTCCATATAGATAGGATGCCTATTTCAGTACCGGTATCCAAAAGTTGATTAAGGGCTTTGATATTATTGTTTACACTACACACCAACAAATTTTAATCTTTTTATCAAGAAATTTCCTTTTATATCTCAAAAACTGTTGAACAGAGATTTGTTTACAATTTTTTTCCATCTATATATATAATACGCTTAGCCAATTTTTGTGAACAGAACTCCTCCCTCATTTTTAGACCGATTATGATGATTAAAGTGTCAAAAAAATTGCCCTGATCTGTAGTTTTGCAAAGTGTTTTTCATTTTTTTAAATCTTTATTAGTTTGGGCAGGATCTTCCATCAAAGCTGGGTTTTCTCCCATAAGATTAACATGGGGAATCTACATATTTAATTGGAAACTTTGTCCCCACTAATTTGAGAGAACGGGTGGGCGTAGAAACTTGGTAGAGGTGTCCAAAGAAAGGTCTCGGTCTGTAGACAAGCCATCAAAAGAAAAAAAAAATTTTAATTGCAAAAAAAATTTTTTCATATTTTGTTTAAGTGCACCTGTAATTTACCCAGATAGTAACATTAAAAAATGCCCATACTATATACCGGTACTACAAAAAAGGTTCCTAGGTCAGAGCCATTTAATGCGCTTGGATTGTGACATTTATTAATTCGGCTTATATTTCTCTTAACCAACGGATTATTCATCTGCAGAAGAAGTTCGTTGTGCTCTTATCCTGTCTGATAACATTCAAACACAGAAACCTTGCCTAAAATAGTACCTATATCTTGACAGATGGTTTGCAGTGGCCTATTACGAACCGTGGCCCACTTGGTTGGCCTTAAGTGAGATTTTTGAAAATAACACTACACTTCGACTGTAAAACAAATATCACAAAGATTAATTACCATTTAAGCAGTTACTGTCATGACAGAAAAGTCGTGTTCCTTTTGAACTAGATCTCCTCATCCTTTCTAAGATACGTTGATTAACTACAATACATGAAAACGTCACTATTTACGTAACAATTTACAGTATTTGCTTTTTGGAAATGCAGTATTGCTTTGTCATTTGCATTATGTGTTGCCAATGAAGCCGCATGACCATATGAACGAGGTCCTTCATTTCAAGAATAAAAGCCAGCTTCACTAAGTATATTCCACTTTCCACTACTCCTAACATTCCAACGAGATATTATATTGCACACTTTATGTAATTGATAAGGCTGAGACAACTGACATCCGCATGTCATGGAATCAAAATTATGTTAACAAAATTAATATTGCTAAAATTGGAGGGCTATTCATTGGCACAGTAGTACAGTATGATGACCGACGTGACAAAGGCAAAATAAAACTTAGGTACACAGCTTTAGGGTGGGCCTCCCTTTGAAGTAAGACGGGCCTTTTCAACAAACAGATATTTTCTAAAAAAATAAAGAAAACACACAGATTTTATCTGCATAACACTGATGAAATCGCAGAAGTGTGTTCCACAAAAGATCCACCAATACGATTTTAATACTATTTAAAGATTCTTCCATAAGCATTCTTCATTTTATTATACTCATCAAAAATAAGAGAAACTAGTTAACATAGAAACAATAACACCCATGACGGACTGTATAATAAATATGTTATTCATTGAATGATCAACCATATTTTGTAACTAACGCAATAGTCATTATTGTTTCCACACTAATTTATTACTCATTAAACAATGCTAAGTGCTCACATTTTTTTTTAATTTCACTCTGTCGCAGTTAGAAGAATTATCCTTTAAAGCAACTGTCGATTTTGACGGGTTTCACCTAGTTGTTTAAATTGTTGTAGTCTACACAGGAAAAGATATTTATTTAAACTAGAGGTCGTCCAGTGGTCGAAAACTCGACCAAAAATAATGTAATGTACAGACTTCTCTATTTTCATCCCACGCTGTAAATGAAACATCTGATGATTGTGTAGCAGTCTTCCATTTGTTTTTATTTTCTGTTTATTTATCGTTGTTATTTCGTCACCAGCAGGGCAACCCTTAAGGCCATGTTATTATTTTTATTATTATGAATTCATTTTATGCGCTTAATTTTAAGCATATCATTAAAATTAAAACCTAAGCCTTTATAAAGGGATTCTGCACATCTGCAGGAAAATATCTTTCTTAACAGTAAGCATAGATTTTCCCTGCGATGCACACAAGCTGAGAAAAAGGTTTTAAAGAAACATGCTTGCCTATTAATCTATATATGTAATATGCTAAGCATTAGTTTTGTGAACAGAACTCCTCCCTCATTTTTAGATTGATCTTGACGATTAAAATGTAAAAAAAAGAATGGCCCTGATCTTTAGTTTTGCAAAAGTGGTTTTCTTTTTTTGAATCCTTTATTGGTTTAGGTAGGATCTTCCATCAAAGTTGGGTTTTCTCCCATAAGGTTAACATGGGGTAGAAATCAGAAATCAGAAATCTTTATTCACAATTATGTGGGAGCCTACTTAATATTAATGGGCAGAAATGGTTAAATATACAACAAATTGCAACACATTAGACTAAAAAAAAACAATTTTTTGATATTACATGAAATAGGCTTCGTCATACAATATAGCCTAAATCTTTCATAATACTAAGGAAAATAAAATCTACACATATAACGATCATAAACCTAATACCTATATAATACTATTCACAATAACAACAACATTTCTTGGTCAATTCTATCTAAAAATTTATCTATATAGGATCACAGGACAGTCTAAAAACTCAGTTAACCCTTAATTTGACAGCGTGCCATTATTGGCACATGAGAATTCAAAAAAATGTCACATCCGCCTGTTAACTTTTTAATTCCAACAAACGGCGTCCAAAGGTTCTTTGCCTATTGCTATTATGGTTTAGTGCACTATAGTGGATGTTTTGGAAATTACTATTACTTTAGACCAACGTATAGAAAAGGAAGTATGGAGGCTTAGTGTAGAAGGTTAGTAAATTACTTCTTATTTCAATATTTTAGGCTGTTTACTTATATATCTAAGTGATTTGCACAGATTTAAGATGAGAAAACATAACCCAGGCCAGTAATTAGCTTAAATATGAATATTGCTTTTTTTATAAACCAAACAATTTGAGTGTGACAAAAATGGCACATTGCCAAAGAACCAGGGAACAATGAAAATGTTTGGGCGTGCCAAAAATGGCACATAACCAAAGATGCAGTTATTTTTTTAGTTTATTGAGCACGCCTAAAGTGGCACACTGTTTATAAAACAGTGAATGGTATTTATATTTGTAAATGTATGTCTCTTATTTCCACAAATTGTAAAATAAAAATGTTTTTGTGAGGAAAGATTTTGCACTAGGCTGTTTAGAAAAGACTTTGGCTTTACAAAAAATCCCGACCATCCATGGCAACAAATATCTACCAAAAAGAGTTTTCCTGAAAGTGAATCTTCTTATATGAAAGTTGATTGTGCATTCCAATAAAGACTTTGGTATTTACAAATATTTGCTCACCGTATCGACATATCGTGGAATAACGCATTGCTGCCACGTTGAACATAATTAAACTGAAAACCAACAAGACAATATGTCACTAAAAAATTTTAGTTATGGGATTTTTGAATCGCTAACCAAAGAAAGGAGTAAAAGACAAGATCTAAAAGACAAGGATTTACTTCTTCTCACACCAGCTGCTCTGATGTATGTTGAAGATGTACACTTTGATGGTGCTGGACACTACCCTTTCTTTGTATTCATCAAGAGGTCGATGCAGATTTTGCAACAATAAAAAATCGTCGATAGAGTGTTCAAAGTGCAATGCGAGGCTGTAACTGAATGAAAATAGCAATTAATTGTTTTGTGGGGTTTCACCAAAAGTAGATGGCGATCCTTGATGGACATACTCTAATGAAATTTCAAAAGATTTTCCTGATGGACATGACTAATGAAATATCAATAAATTATATAATAGTGTATTTTTTTTTGTAATCACATAGTTTTGTAGAGGTTTTACATGTGTATACATTTTAGTTCATTTTTTATAATGACGTTTATACAATTTTATATTGGTTTGATAACTTTTGTGGAGAAATTGATTTTTTTATATCTTACATATAATTATAGTTATACAATTTAGATATCCAATATGTGATAATGTCGACTTATTCAACCCCTAAAGTTTATTTTTAAGTGCTATACAGATAAACTTGTTGTATTTAATTCAACATGAGATTCCTAGATTCCGCATCTTTGGCAAAGTGCCAAAAATGGCACACATGAAAAAATTGTGAAAAATACTTATAAGAATTTTAAAATTATTTTTTTGAAGTTCCTTTGGACCATTTTGATTGAAATATTGCAAGGAAAAAGTAGTTTTCAAAAAAAGATTTGTTTGCCAAATTAAGGGTCAGTTAAACAAGAAAACGTATGTTTTAATAGCCAATCGTGAATTTTCTTCTTGAAAACATTGACTGGTGCAGTTCTAGCGAAGGAAGTTTATTAAAAAAATCTAATGCAGTTAATTTTGTGAGATGACCCAGTTTTGGCTAATCTGTGCATTGGGATACCAAGTCTCGTCTTCCCTCTTTTGTTGTGGTTGTGTATGCTCTCTCTTGTGACAAATTCTTGTAAGTTCATTTTGATGTGCATTAATGAACAAAGAATATACAAATTTACAACAGTGAGTATTTTAAGTTTAATAAATAATGGAGGACAGCTCTCCACAAGGCTCGCCCTACACAGATTGCGAATTACTTTCTTTTGAATCAATAAAATATCATTTCTTTGTGAGGAATGGCCCCATAAGAGGAGACCGTAGATTATGTGTGATTCAAGAAGACCAAAATAAGCCATTCTAAGGTACTCGCCAGAAACAAAATTACTTAGTTTCCAG